CCCCCCGTCGAATCATCTGCTCCTGCATTCCCTACCCAACAACGCAACCACTCTGTCTATCCATTAATCCTGGCCTTGCTTTGCCCTGCCCCGCCCTGCTCTGCCCTGCCCTGCCTTGCCTTGCCCTGCCCTGCCTTGCCTTCCCTCCTCCTTTCCTTTTTTCCTTGTGAACTCTTACAAATATGTGAGGCTATCCATTAATCCATTTTCCTTCCCACTTTATCTCCCTACCTCTTTTTCCCTCTCTTCTTCCATTCATCCATCCATCCACCCATCGTCCCTTCCATCTAAGCCTCAAGTTAGAACCTGAAAAAAATGTAGCAAATTCTCATCCATGGTAAATTTGTAAGTCTTTTAATTCAATGCCTTAAACTGGTGCTTGTTTCTGTCAAGACTAGCATTTTAGCATGTGAGCCCCACCTCAACTTCTGGTGTTTTCCTGGTTAATTGGAAATAAGAGTCTCACAAGGTGATATTTTGATCTCCTTTGCTTGAATTTCAATGTCAAAACATTGAAGCAGATACTCCTGTCTCATTTCTTAGCACCATGTTTTATAATTCCTGTGGAAATTCCATGCAGGGAGCCAATGTGGGCTTTGACACTGCCCAGCTGGGCCCACACACAGATTGTTTGCCTGTGGAGTCACTAGATACTGTAAGATTCTGTTACTAGTTGGCTGTTTGAGCATCCCCTCTGTGGGGTGCACTGAATGCCACAGGGAGCTCACTGCCTTCCCAGCAAGTCACCCTAGGTAAATGTTAATTCCCTATTTTACAAGCAAAGGAAATGGGCTTGGAGTCCCAGCTAGTAAATGGTGTGCTGGCATTTCATCCATAGCTTGATTCAGGCACTGAGCTCCCCACCACTCCACTCTATTGATGAGCCAACCTCTCCCCACACATGGGGATTTCCTGGAATATTTCATTGGAGACAGCCTCACCCACAGGCATGCATGTCCAGGGAACTTTGACCCCTATCCTCAGTCAGTACCCAGGGGTCTGTGGGACTCAGTCACTGAAGAGCTAGCTCCCTTTCAGAGGCCACTGTTTCTTAGCAGCTCCCTGGGTGGCTCTGATGTGACTGTGTTGAGAAGCTCGTCTCACTTCCCATGCTGAAAAACAGATGTGATGGTGTTTGGAGAACCACAAGTGGGCTGGATATCTCCTGGGCTTGATATCTCCTGGAGTGGAGCTCCTAAGGTGTCTACTGACGCGCCCCTGCAGGTCTGCCTCAGGCTCCTGCCCAGACAACTCTAGACAGGTGAGTCCAGACAAATACCTTTTTACTGGAAATGTGACTGATTCAGAGAGCCATCAACTCCTCATCTGGCCATTCTGTGATGGTCACAAGGGAACTCTTGCTCTCCACGTCACCAGCTGCCCAGCAAACCAAGAATGCCGTGTGTGTGTGTGTGTGTGTGTGTGTGTGTGTGTGTGTGTGTGTGTGTGTGCTGGTCCTATGGCTTGAATTCAGGCTATTGTACTCAAGGCTAGTGGTCTACCACTTTGAGCCACAGCACCATTTTCAGCTTTTTGGTAGTTAATTGGAGATAAGAATCTTGAGGACTTTCCTGCCCTTGCTGGCTTTGAACCACGATCTTCAGGTCTCAACCTCCTGAGTAGCTAGGATTACAGGTATGAGCCACTGACACCTGGCTTGGAATGCCTTTCTAAAGAGGGGCACAGAAGACACTTTCAGCCTGACCATAGGGACCTCATCTCAAAGATGAGGCTTTTCCATCCTCTCTTTTATTCCCTCCTCTATCCTGTTTCTGGTCCAGCTTTGTGCCCAGAGGGCATTTGGTTGTCATAAGGGTCTACTTATACTAGGAAAAAATAGCTTTATGAAATTGCTTCTAGAAGAAGAGGTGTGGTTCAAGTGGAAGAACACTAGCCTTGAGCAAAACAGCCAAGGGAGAGCATGAGGTCCCGAGTTCAACACACAGACACAGACACAGACACACACAGACACAGACACAGACACACACACACACACACACACACACACACACACACACACGCACAGAGATTGCTTCTTTACCTAAGTAAATATATTTTTTGCCTTTAAAGAGTGCTTGGAGTCTTCTAAAGCTTTTATAATTACATCAATTTATTGTTAAAGAAAATATAAGAGCTAAAATAAAATTTCTAAAATGAAATAAAAACAAGATTTACCTGTGACTTTTCTTCCCTAAGCCAGCTCTTCCATAGGCCACAGAGGCCCAAGTCAGCAGGGTTTTGGCTTTCAAATCAGACTGTTCACACTGTACCTCTGATCTACCATTCAATAGTGTGATAACCTTGGCATTTATGTTGCCCACCAATGCCTCAGTTTCCTTATCTGTGCTTAAAAGTACTGGGATCTGCCTTATAAAATTGCTATGAAAGAGGCAGGACCACAGACTCAAGCTAGTGGCTCAGGAGGTTGAGATCTGAGGATCGCAGTTCAAAACCAGCCCAGGCAGGAAAGTCTGTGAGATTCTTATCTCCACTAAACTACCAAGAAAAAAAAAAGCCAGAAGTGGAGCTGTGGGTTAAGTGGTAGAGCACTAGCTTGGAGCACACGAAGCTCAGGGACAGCACCCAGGTCCCAAGTTCAAGTGGCAGGATACACACAAGCATGCACGTGTACATGTGTATGTGCACACGCACATACACACACATACACACACACACATACACAGAAAATTGCTGTGAGGTACCTCGAGGGACATTCCCACACATAGAAGCTCAGCAAGGGCCTTCTTCCTTCTGCTAGTTTTGCTTTTTACCCTTACCTAAGGTACCCAAGGCCCAGAATCAGGTTGCTTCAGCATGTTCCTGACTTTGGAAACTGTGCCTGCCATGTTGCACTTGTTCCCAGTCTCTGAGATGGCCCGGGAGGCTGTCATGGCTTCTCGTCCTGACTTGGCTGACATTTGCTTCTCTGAGGCCAGGATGACGTTTCTACTTCACTTTGGTCTCCAGTATGTCCTGCCTGTCCAGAGCCCTGCATGTCTTGTATCCAAGATCCCCTCCACGGGTGGTAACATTGTGACAGAGAGTTCCTGAAGCTGGACACCAGTGGTTTGCTCATTAAGGTGCACAGAGAGCCTTGGGGCAGACTGTGGAGATCAAATTCTTCCTAGCCTGAGTCTGCTGTCTCAGGAACCTGGGTAAACCACTTGATGTCTCTGGTTTCATCGTCTGAAAATATAGCTATAATGAACTAGAGCTGCCTGGGGAGGAGATGTACTTGTACCTGCCCAGGAGATGATCCAGCTTGTCCCTTTTGTCTAGCACAAACCCTGCTTTAGATAAGTCTCTTGAACACCTGCCAATGCAGTTGGGGATGTTAGGGTGTGTCCCTTCCCAGCCTCTGGTCACTCTAGAAAATATGGATTCTAAATACACAAAACTTCTAAGGGCTAGATTGTCATGCTTACTAGCCCCTTTATGTTCACTCTTGAAAAATAAATGTCATTGATCCTTAGTGCCTGTGTACTCCCTCCGAATCATGGACATTGAGTGGTTCCCAATAGTAGCCCACTCACCAAGGCTACTCTCCAGCTCAAAACCCATTGCTTTTTTTGTTCCAGTTTTGGGGTTTGAACTCAGGGCCTGGGTATTTCCCCTTAGCTTTCTTTCTTTTTTTGATCTATTCCTTAAATTTTTTAAAATGTAATTTTAGTGTTACTAAGCTGTGTACAGTGGAGTTACAATTTCATAATATCCTTACTTATTTTGCTTAAGCACTCTACCTCTTGAGCCACACCTTCGCTGCCAGCTTTTTGCTGTTTAATTGGAGATAAGAGTCTCACAGATTTGTCTGCCCAGTCTGGCTTCAAGGCATGATCCTCACATCTCAACTTCCCGAGTATCTAGGAGTACAGGCATGAGCTCTCAGCTCCTAGCTTTCCCCATTGCTTTTATATTAAGCCTTAACTCCTCAGCTTGCTATGTGAGGGCTTTTAGGATCCATTCTGCCCGCTTCTCCATCCAGTGCACGTAAGCCACATCAGGTGATTTTCTTCCAGAGTCAAGTTCCCCACCCTTCTCTCAGTTCTATATACGATTTTCTCTGCAAGGAGAAATCTTCTTGGTCTCTTCCCCACTGTCCCCAAATCAGACACAATTGCACATGACACATTCATACATGGAGCTCAACCATAGTATCCCTCCTTGAGTGGCCTGGCCTAGTAGGGCCCTTCCTTTGGACGCCTCTCACCCCAGGTCTAACTTTCAGTTTCCCAATTGCATTTCAAGACTTCTTCGTCAACTTCTTGTCCCATGGGCATTTTCTTCTCTGCTCCTCCCAGGGCTTGGCTCAGCAGATTCTACCTTTCTCTTCTCTCTCAGGTCCCCCCTGTATCCATCACCCAACGTAGTACAGAAATCCATCCCTTCTGCATGCCTCCACTTACCCAAGATTTCCACCAGGCCATCTTGCTCACTTTGTGGCTACCTTTCCCAGGAAGATGAAGAGACACTGGTTGCGTTCTGCTCTGCCTCTGAATGAGTCTGTCTGCACTTGAAGATCAGGCATCTGGGTGGGTGTGGTGGTGCAAGCAGGCCTCGCCCAGCCTCACCCCTGCCCTCCTCCCTTTCCTCTGGGTTCTTCTTGGCTCTGGGTTCCTCCTGTGGCTCCCAGGCCCCACCCAGGCACTGCCCAGGCCTGCCCTGGGGAATCACACCACTCACTGCAAAATGTTTGGGCGGTGGCTGTCCCACAGATTGGAAATTCTGAGGCGCCTTTGAGAGCTGACTTAGTAAACAGGGCTGCAGTTTCACAAGGGTTTTGCTAGATGTGGTTATGAAAGGAAGCACTCATGTGTCCCTTCCTGTATTCCAGTGTCTACCCGATGAACAGTCCAGTGAAGGACATGAGGAGACAGAAGCCTCCATTCATGGACACACTGTCTGAATCCCTCTGCAATGATCTGTGGACTGTGTCACAGCCCCAGGAAATAGGTACGAGGTCTGTGAGCTTGAGTAGGAAACTAGCTCCAGCACATGGATGATTGGTCCAAATGACACACAGCATGTGCCACAGACTCAGTCCCTTAAGACCTCTTGGACTTATAGGCTTGCACTCCACACTGGGCCCCAGACACACGGGCTGCCAACTGAAGGAGGAATCTCCCTATGAAGAGATTCATTTTGGATCCTCTGGGGTTTGCCTGCCTGCTTAGAATTTTCCCCCAGAATGGCTCTTCTTATATCACCCTTAACCCAGCCAACTCTACCCACCCTTCAATGTAAATATCCCGCCTAGAAGACCACCCTTTCTATCCCAAGGAAAGACCCATTAGGTTCTCAGGACTGCCATGGGGGAGGTTTTTGCTTTTTCTCTTCCTTCCTTCCTTCCTTTCTCCTTTCCTCCCCTCCTTCCTTCCTTTTCTTCCTTCCTTTCTTTCTTCCTTCCTTCCTTCCTTTTCTTCCTTCCTTCCTTTTCTTCCTTCCTTCCTTCCTTCCTTCCTTCCTTCCTTCCTTCCTTCCTTCCTTCCTTCCTTCCTCGCTCTCTCCTTCCCTCCCTCCGTTCCTCCCTCCGTTCCTCCCCCCCCCCCCCCCCCGCTCCTGCTCCCTTTTTGGTACTAGTACCAGGGCTTGAACTCAGGTCCTAGGCTCTGTCCCTGACCTTTTCCGATCAAGGCCTGTATTGTTTTTTTTTGGGGGGGTCCGGTTGTGGGGCCTGAACTCTGGGCCTGGGCACTGTCCCTCAGCTCTTCAGCTCAAGGCTAGTGCTCTACCACTTGAGCCACAGTGCCACTTCTGGCTTTTTTCTTTTTGCTTATATGGTGCTGAGGAATCGAACCCAGGGCCTCAGGCTTGCAAGGCAAGCGCTCTACCACTGAGCCACCTTCCCAGCCCCTCAAGGCCTATGTTCTATCACTTGAGCTACAGCCCCATTTCTGGCTTTTTAGTGGTTAATTGGAGATAAAAGTCTCAAGAACTTTTCTGCCATGGCTGGCTTCAAACTGTGACCTCCGGGGCTCAGCCTCCTGAGTACCTAGGACTATAAGCATGAGCCACTGGCTCCCCCTGCCTCCGTGCCTGTAAATTCACAGTAACTTCTCAGATAAGAATTATCCTATGATACAAAATGCTCTAATTTTCCAACCAAGGGTCCAGTGCTCTCAGGTTGTTCCTTGTGGTACTGTGGGTGGAGTAGGTGCATGTCAAACTGGGCCAGCAAGCACAGGTGAGGGGGAAAGTCTTGTTCAGCATAAACAGCCATTGCTTAGAGCTGCCCAGAAAGCTGGGGAGCCATTGTGGTAATTCTTAGGAGCTCAGCTACTCCCTGAGCACCAAAAAGCATGGAGGAGGTTTGGGACCAGTGACTCTGAGGCTCCTTCAGGAGAGTCTGACCAAAGTTGAGTTGTTATCTGGGTGACTGCGATGGGACCCCTGGAAGTAGCAGTATAATGGGGCCACAGGAGAGGCCTGGATTCTCCGCCTTCTCTTCTCAGGCCTAGTTCTGATTAGCACCTGCAACCAGGGGCCCCCAAAGCTCTGGGATATCCAGTGCCCTTGGTCATTTTCTCATTTCTTTTCTGCCAACTTCATGATCCCCATAGGACTCCTTCCTGACCCAGGCCCTCTTCCCTTCCAGAGCTTCTGGCTGATTTTTGGGAACATCTGGGCACATTTCAAATCTCCCAGCCCAGAGATCAGAGTGGTAAGCACCCCTCTCCCCTTATTTCTATACTCCTCTAGATGCCCCTGGGTTCAACTGTCTTATCCCAGTGTCATCTATTAAGGCCTATATCAGCGTGGGCTTTTCAGATGTGGCATCCTTACATTTACCCTGGAACCCCTTACCCACCCACCTATGCCCACATTCTGCCTCATGCCCATTTCCCCTCTCCTGAATAGCCTTTCCTTTCTCCTAAATGGACAATGGGGAACTTGGCAGTCCTTACCATGTGGCCTCCATCTTATCTAGGGCAATCCTCTCTCCCTGGCCTATCTAGCTGAATAACCATATGATGTCACTAAACCAAAGCCAGGTGCCTGGCACTTCTCTGCTCCTCCTCTGAGCCTTGGAATCATACCAAGCTTAGCAGACTAATCAATATTATGCTGAGCCCTAATTGAAGAATTCATAGTACCCTGGATAGTCCCTGGCAGGACCACACCGGCCAATGAGAATGGCAGAAGCCTGCTCAGGCCCTGAGGGTGCTCAGGACTCTGCCTGGCTGAGCTCCTGTGCCTGGCTGAGCTCCTGTGCCTGGCTGAGCTCCTGTGGGTCTCCAGATTTGATCACAGGAAGCACTCAGGCCTCAAAGAGTGCTGTACTGTGCTGGACTCCACTGAATTTCACATGCATTACTGGCTGTGTGGCTCCATGTTCTGGAAGAAGCATTGATTTTCAGCACAGCCCTGCAGGCTGAGAGCAGAAAGCCCAGAATGTGGTTTCAGCAAAAGGTGATGAGAGGGGCTTATCTATGGAGCCTGGGGTGAAGAGGGAGGCTACTCTGAGAAAGTGATCTTCCACTTGGCCATGTATAATCTTCCTGGGAGATAGCCAGGGAGGGGAAGAGGAGAGAGGCCTCAGCATGATGTTCATGTATAGACAAGCATCGGTGCAACAGTATGTGCATGTGTGCGCATGTGCAGAGATGAATCCTGCACAGAGTGTCCAGCCTGCATCTCCTAGCTCCTTCTCAGTTACATAAACTTCAAACAGAAGCAGGGAGAAGCATGCACAAGCATGTAGTGTGGAAAGTGTGGCCCACTACAGTGGAGACTGGCTGCAGTCAGGACAGAAAGAAGCAGGTGAAGTGGGGAGACTGGGTGAGGCTTTCAGGTATGCAAAAGGGAGAGATTATCCTGAGCAACTAGAGGTGATGGAGAGCAGAGTTCTTCCCACGTGTCTTCCCAGGGCCTGTGTGAATAGTGGGAAGTGGAGCATAGCGTAACTTGTCCCATGAGGACCCCACTCAAGGTGTTTAGAAAAGCTACCAAGCTGTATGTGACTGCAAGGGCTGGGGCTCACCCCAGGGCTGGTTTCATCAGTTTAGCAGGAGGCCAGGTAAACTATAGGCCAGAACAGGGGTGAGGTCATGAAGGTGGTTGTTGGCAAGTTAGACAGAGTCATGTGGTTTAATTGGAAGACAGCCAATCCAAATGTTGGTCAGAGACTGACTCCGGATCTGAGCGGAATTTTCCTGGTCCCAGAATATGAAACTTCTTTCAAGCTCCAGAACTTGATGTTCCCCAGGAGAAGGCAAATTCCCTGCCTTGTATGACTCCCCCAAACTAACCCTGAAATCTAAACCCCAAGTCTCCACCATGTTTGCTTTTGCCCCAGGCAGGTAGTATACACAGTTCTGTGTGTGTGTGTGTGTGTGTGTGTGTGTGTGTGTGTGTGTGTGTGCTGTTCCTGTTCCTGTTACCTCTGACTGTGGAGCAGGAAGAGAGTTGTGATACGCTTCAGCCTCTCATCTTTTCCTTGGTCCCCCTGGGGCACCCACAATGGCTTTCCCCATTCATCCTGTTTGGATCTGTGCAGGACATTACCTGGACATGACCGATGTGCCTTTCCCAGCATTCTATTTTTCTCATTAACTCTGTCTAGTCATGTTACATGTGTAATTAAATGCACTTTTTTCTAACTCTACCTTTTCCATGATTAACTGCTCTTGTATTACCTCATGCCCCTTCCCTCATTTTGCTTGGCTTTATTTATTTATCTGTTCAAGTCTGATGGTCTACCAATTAGGTCACATCCATTTCTGCCTTTTTAGAAATTGGAGATAAACGTCTCATAGACTTTTTTGCACAGGCGGACTTTGAATCACAATCTTTAGATTGCAGATTCCTGAGTAGTGAGGATTACATGTATGAGCCACCTGTATCTGGCCTGTATCATTTAAAAAATTATTTTATTGTTATTATCAAGGTGATGTACAGAGGGATTACAATTACATGAGTCATGTAATGAGTACATTTCCTTTCATACAGTGCCTTCCCTTCCCTCACTCTGTATCATTTTTTTTGGAACATTCTACACATACTTATTTCAATGGCCCTTGTAGATCTTTCTATTCTCTCTACTTTGGGGGCTCTGAAACCCTTCAGATTCAGTATATATGTCCAATTTAACAAACAAAAAAATCTGTTAATTTTAGGTTTTTGATCCGTCAGAAGTTGAACGATAAGGGTAGGGGCAATAAGGAAACTCTCCAGATTTACGGGCCTGGGGAGAGAGCAGTGGCAGCGTCTTGGAGGGAGTTCTGGTATACTTGGCTTGGTAATTTCTTAAGGGAGGGCATTGCCTGGGTTGTGCGCACACCCTTGGGGGGCAAACTGTCTGTGCTACAGGAAAACACTCCCTGCTTAATTGACAGCAGTTCCTTGCAGAGCAGACTGCCTTTGGAATGGGGACACAGTCCCTGTTTGATTGAAGACAGATCCTTGGGGCGCAGGTCGCCTGTGGGATGGCACAGCATTCCTGACTGGGTTGGAGGCAGATCCGTGTAGGGCAGGGGACCTGTGTGCAGCTGGGGTTCATGACAGCAAAGCTGGTGCCTCTGCCCTGTGGAGTGAAGAGAGAGAAGTTCACTGAGATACCACTGGAATTGAGGCAGAGGCTGCCATTGCCTGGCTGAGGGTCATCAGGACCCATCGAGGCTGACAAATCTGGCTTTGCTGAGGCTGTGTGTGAATCAAATCAAATCATAATCAAAACAGAATCACTGGAGTCAAGTGCAAATAAAAATACAAATGAAAACATATGAAGGTGAGAGTTTATGAGGGAAGTGGTCTTATACATGTGCGCCTCAAAAAAACTCTCAAAAAGCCCGATGACATCCAACTTTGGACACTACAAAGGTTTCCAAAACAAATATAGACACTTCAGAACACTGACTCAGACTCCAAAAGATATATCCATGTTTTAGTCTCTTACATTAAAAACACTTCTGTAAGAACTCCAATCCTTTAATTAGTTAATTCGGGAATGATTTTACCTGTATTTTATCACTGATCCTTGGATACCTTTTTATGAATCTTTGTGCTCAAGGGTCATTATTTCAAAAAAATTATGTGATTCTTTGTGTGTGTGTGTGTGTGTGTGTGTGTGTGCGTGTGTGCAATGGTTGGCAGTATTTGGTTTCCTGCTTTCTGCTTCTCCACATTCACATTGCCCCAGGACATTTTTATGAGTCATTTTCTCTGCTTAGAAAGAAGGCCTCCAATTTTCACTCCACTCCTGAGTTTGAAATCTGGGCCTTAGGTGTTCCTTAGCTTTTTTTGCTTATCACTAGTGCTCTACCATGTGAACCACAGCTCCACTTCTGGCTTTTTTGGTGCCTAATTGAAGATAAGAGTTTCACAGGCTTTCCTGCCCAAGCTGGCCTCAAATCCCAATCTTCAGATCTCAACCTCTTGAGAAGTTAAGATTACAGCCATGAGCCACTTATGCCCAGCATTCATTGACTTCTGTTTACCAATTTTATTTCAGCTTAAATATCAGAGAGTCTTTTCTGGCCAACCAGATGTCTGCTGACATATTAGTAACTTTATTTTCTAGGTATAGTTTGGCACTCCATGGCAGTCCTCAATGTTCTCTAGTTGCTTTTGCTTTTCAAAAAACCCTGAAATCGTAGCTACTCAGGAGGCTGAGATCTGAGGATAGTGGTTCAAAGCCAGCCCAGACAGGAAAGTCCATTTGACTCGTATCTCCATTTAATTACTAAAAAGTCAGAAGTGGAGCTGTGGCTCAAGTGGTAGAGTGCTAGCCTTGAGCCAAAAACTTCAGGGACAGTGTTTAGGCCCTGAGTAGAAGCTCCATGATCAGTATACACACACACACACACACACACACACACACACACACACACACACACACACACACACACACACGAGTTGATATTGATATTGTGGTTGAGGCTTTTATACTTTCAAATATTTACTTAAAGCAACAAGTAAAGTTTTGTGATTTCTTTTCATGGTAGGTGAGTCTTACTTTTGTTGGCATTCAGATTTTGCTGCTGTTATGGATAGAATAGCATGCCTTATGTTTATCTATAGTTTACCTTTCTTGACTATTTAAATTGCTTGGGAAGGTATTGGGCTTTATTGCAGGAGTGGGAGAACAGGGCTGGGGAGGGGTCTGCAGAAAGGCTTCTAGCTGGCTGCAGAGACCTGGAGTCTGAGGTCTCCAGGTAAAGAGGTATGTATGTGGGGTGCCGGAAGGCTGCCCCTATTCACTGAATGCAGCTATTGAAACTAGCTGACAGTTGGCTGTTTCTCACATTGGCCCAAGCTTTCCACAATAAAGTGACATTACCCCAGATGAGTGACAAATATTTGATCTATAGCCTGTCTTGATAGAGCTTTGGAGTTCTGGCTCTACTTCTGGGTTTCCTGATCTCATGGAGACTTGTATGTAGCAGGGCAGGGTGGCAAGGAGTTAGAGAAAACTCTATCACCACCCCAGTCCCAAAGTTAGGATCTGAGATTTTCCCAGGCAAATCCTGTTGCCTTTCTACTTCTTGCCATACCCACAAGAGGGCCTGGCTGAGCCCTGCCTGAGAACTACTTCAGGAAAAGGGATGTGCAGTGGATGGTAGTGGAAGATGGATAGCTGACATCTGTCATGGGCAAGACAAATGACTGACAGGGAACAAGTTACTCAGTTTCTCTGGGCTTCAGCTGCCTCTGGGTAAACATAAATGAGAGGGAGGATAAGACCCTCTATACAGTTGCTGGGGGAATTAAAACAGGATATAGTTAGTGCTTGGGCTCTTAGCTGGCCCACAAGTGGCCTCACTAAATACCTGCTACCCGTATTTGCACCCCAGCAATGACAATGTGGTTTCTTTTCATATTCACTAAACAGTGGCACAGAGGGGACTTTCATTACCTGTTAAATTGGTGAGGGTTGTCCAGCGAATTCCTTCAACCATGTCCCCTCCTGGCCCCCATGACGTGCCATGGGACAAACTGTCTGGGGTACTCCTGAGCACAGGGGTCCACGTCATGGGCATCATTTATCAGCTCACAAAGGCTATACCCTGAGCTCTAGCCCCATGGGGATGGAGGTCAAAGCAATGGCCTTTCTGTCCATCAAGAATATCCTTGTGTCCTGCTCACCTGGATCCTGGGTGAACAACATGGAAATGTCTGGTGGCAGGCTGAAGGAATGTAGCAGCAGGGAGACACAGTGCCCTAAAAACCAGAGAGGATATGAGGAAGCGGCCTGGCAGGGCCACAGCCTCTACAGAAGGCAAGGCCACCCAAGTCATCCACATCTCCCCAGGGAGACCTGTGACCTCCAGAGGAGAGCCTGGTAGGCTAGTGTCCAGGACACAAAGAAATTAGGAATCTAGAATGACACAGTGTTTTGGGGAAAAGGAAAAGCCTGGGGCCTGCTTTGGAGAATTCAAAAGGCTGAGGCCCCCTGTGGCAGCAGATGGAGACCTGAGGTGAGCACAAGTTCTGAGCAGGGATCCAGGATTGGGGGGCTGGACTTGGAGGGAGGGGACACTAAGAGAAGGAGGTGAGAGGCCTCACGTCTTACTTGGACAAGTGTCTGAGACAAGGGCAGAGAGAAGTGGAAGGAGAGAGGAAGCAGAGAGGTCCTTGCCTGGTCAGGCTGTACTTTGGCTGCAGCCCTACAGCTATGGGCCTTGTCAGGTGTCACCCAGAAGGGATGGGAAAAGATCATAAACCAGGATATAGCAAAGCCATCAACACAACCACATTCATTGCAGTACTATTCACCTTAGCCAAGGAATGGAATCAGCTCAGGTGCCCCTCAGTGGATGAATGGATCAAGAAAATATGGTATAAATTACAGAATGGAATTGAACTCATCCATTAGAAGGAATGGAAAGGCTTGGGAAAAGTTGGGCCTAGAGAGACAAAGGATCCATGTTTTCCCTTATCTGTAGGAGCTAGATTTAGCTTACAAACTCCTAAGTAAATATGTTGGGTGGTATGCAAGTGTATATTGATTCAAGGAGATCTTAATATAATTCCTTAGAAAGCCAAAGTCAAAGCAAAATAAAACACCAGGAAGCAAGTACTTGAAAGGTGTAGAGAGGGGTCAAGGGGAAGGGAGTAGATGAAAAAGAGGGAAAGGGGGGGATGCAGACAACAACTCAATATATATCCTACAAGGTGGGGGGAGGTGGTAGGTTAGGGAGGGAAGTGGTAGGTTAGGGAGGGATGGGTGATAATGTTAAAAAGGATGACATTGATCAAGATATACTGTATTTATAGACTGCTTGGTTAAATGGGAAGTCCATCATAAAATGACTTAAAGATAATAATAATTTCAAAAAGAAACCTTAAAAAACCAACAAGAGAGGTGGGGTTGAAAAGAGATAGTGAGTGGTCAGAATAGGCCCAGAAGCAATGGTCCCTTCCCTCTCTGGAGTTTGGGCTTTGGCTCACTGGCTATGGCCTACAGTGAGGGAAGGGCCAAGGCTGTGCCAGGAGAAGGACTAGACTGGAAGCTCCCAGGAGGAAGTGCTGGGTCTGCCACAGACAAAGCCATGAGCCAAGGAGGAGGACAGCACCAGGAAGGCCCTTTCTTTCTTAATCCTGACCTCCTGGGGTCAGTCCATCGCTGATTGGCCAGCTTCTCCTTCATAAGATAGACCTAGAAGAAGGGAAGGGACCTTGGGCTGAATTTCTCTTGTGTCCCTTCCAGGATCAACTTCTGCACAGGGTCTCTCCCTTTCCATAGCTCCTTTTGTCTTATCTCCACAGGCAAACAAGACCACAGGGCCAGCCCAGTGCCTCATTGGTCATGAAGAGCCGGGGAATGGGACCTGCCATGCCACCTGATTGTTAAATTTTATTTTAATGATGCTGCCACCAATGCCTAAAGACTAGTCCTTTTTCTTTCTTTCCCTTTCTTTCTTTTTTCTCTTTTTATTTTTTCCTGCCCTTTTTTTCTTTCTTTTAATTTTTTCCTTCCTGCTTGCTTGCCTGCCTGCCTGCCTGCCTTCCCTCCCTCCCTCCCTCCCTCTCCCTCCTTCCCTCCCTCCCTCCCTCCCTCCTTCCTTCCTTTCTTCCTTCCTTCCTCCTTTCCTTCCTTGTTGGTACTGGAACTTGAACTCAAGTTTGTACTTTCCCTTTGCTTTTTCACTCAGGGCTGGTGTTCTACCACTTGAGCCATCCCACTACTTCTGGCATATTGCTGGTTAGTTGGAGATAAGAGTCTCACAGAGTTTCTTGCTTGGGTTGGCTTCATACTCAGATCTCAGCCTCCCTAGTAGCTAGGATTATAGGTATGAACCATCAGCACCTGGCTAGTCATTTTTATTACTCCTAAACTTTTTTTTAAAATTATTTTTGCCAGTCAATGTGTCTTGGCTCATCAACCTACAGGCTAGAGGACATCAAAGACACGGCTAGGGCTGAGGTCAGTGACTCTGTAGACCAGGGAGAGACTGGTAAGAAGTCATTCAGTAGCCTTATGGAGAAACCTGGATTCTGTCCAAACAAGGCAGGTGTTAGGACAGGCTAGGTGGGTAGTAGAAGTCCCAATTCATGCTGCCCTCCCTTGAGGGCCTAGAGAGGTGTCAGCTAGACACAGATACCATGCAGTCCATATCTGGTCCCATAGAGACACATTATCCGAGCCCCCACATCAGGGCCGCATCAGAGGCCCCAGGCTCAGGCCTCTTGGGTGAGAACTGGTTTATGCCTTTCCTCCTCTGTCCAGCAGAGGTCACAGCATGCGCACCACAGGGCCCTTGTCACCTGCATTGGTCTGCTTGCGCATCCACAGCAAGAAATGACCAGGGTGGGGTAGGCATTCACAGGCTGACATGGCGCTGCAGGTGGCGTAGGGCACTCATCTTCTACCTCCTAGAAGGAAAGAACACCAGTTGCCTTGTCTGAAGCACCTGGGAGGATGCATGCTGTGTCCACTTGCAGCCCTGCATGCAGTTAATGTTGCAGGGTAAATGGAATAAGGAATGAGTAGCAACCCTCTCTCATGGGTGAGGGTTTTCCTTGAGAAGAACAGCAACTTCTTCTGGCTTACAGATGATGTGCAGCCTCCTGAACTGTCCCCAGTGTATTTTTGTGCCCTTGGCTTTTCTGGACAGCCTGAGCTGGCAGAAGCTAGCCTGGAGACTGGCAGGTGATTTCCCCTTCCATCTGGCTTTGGCCTCATAGGCATAATCTTCCCAGGATATTTCACAGCCAGTACTGGTCCCAGCCTGGGTAAGGAGCCAAGGTCTTCTTACTCCCCAAGCCCAGACCCTCCCTCTTCCAGCCATTCACTGTCTCTTCTGATTTACCCCGGGTGAACCATAGCTGCTCACATAACTTGGTTCCTGAGCTCACCCTAGAAGACAGACATTACAGTTCAAGCCAGCCAAGATGCCTACCTCTCCTAAGACCTGTGGTCCCTACGGCTGACCTCAGCTGTGCTCTGGGCCTAACTAGAACCAAGGGATCAAGATAAATCAAAGAAACAAACTAGACAGATACCCAGAGATGGAGCTGGAGACTTAGACCAGAAATAGGAGGCTCCTTTTTCAGGAACCTGGCTTCATCCTAGGCATCCCCTAAGAGGCTTACTGAACCAGAAAGAGTCCACTGGTACAGTAATGATGGCTCTACCCGGGGAAGTGGGTCCCATAGCATCATGCCTCTAGTCATGGGGAACTGCTGGGAGGCTGGACAGGGGCACTGGGTAGGCAAAATCACTGCTAGTGTTTCTCCTTCCAGTCCTAGGCTGACCCTCTGACCTCTTTTCATCTGTCCCTTTCCATGGTTACTCCTCAGACTAGGATGATGTCAAAACCCATAGCAGGACTCACTTCCGTTGCTGCTGGTGGTGGTGGTGGAGGAGGAGGCTCCTTGACACACTGGAATGAGAAATAGACACAAGATAAGTTTGGGGTGATGGGGTGCGCTATGCTTCAGCCCTGAAGGAGGCAGCCCTGTTCTGACCATGGGGACAGAACACAGCCTGGGCCTGTCTGTATGGACACACTGCACTTGTAGAGATGGTTCCAGGAAGCTCTATCTGACTGGAGGGAGCCCTGAGCTGGGAGATGAGCACCACATTGAAGGTCCGGAGAAGGCCCAGTGACTGCAGGCCTGTTCTTCTGCCCACCCCACCCACAGCAGGGTCCTCTCCTGCCTCCCTTTCTGTGTGAGCTCCTGGGCCCTTCCTCCCTACCTTTAGAATGTCCTCCTCAGCTTCTCTGTTATCTACTCCTCTGGGCAGAAATGGGTCCTGCCTGCTTGGTGTTGGCTATTCTATCTTTCCCACATCTGCCCTTTCTTCTTCCTTCCTACAATTCTCTGGAATGGTCCTTCCAACTTCAGTTCACCAGCACCCTACTGTCTCTAATGCCCCAGTTGCCAATCTCATTCTTTGTCCCTGCCCTATTTACCTAGGGCCCTGACTGTGTATCATGCGAGTCAGCACTTCACCCTCCTGCTTCAAGCAGAGGGTGCCTGATGATGAGCTCCCTGGGGGAAAGAACTTGCCACTTCTGGGTGTGTGCCTCTCAAGACCAAATCCGTGTTCACAGTGAGGCTCAGTAGTGAAAGGTGAAGGAATGATAGAAGGTGCTAGAATCATGCAGAGACCTGGGTTGATGTGAATGTCATGGTTGCCCCAGAGGGCATTCAGCCTCCCTGGTTGGTGCCATTGCATTTGGGGCACTGGCCTTTATGGGGAAATCCTGTCCTCTTCTTGCCCCTACAGTTGCTGCACCTGGATTCCTGTCCATCTGAGGGTTGCAGAGGACTAGCCCCAGTGTCTGGATTCTACTTTCGACAGTGGCCTTTTACCTGCTTAAGCTAGCCTTGGCCTTATCTGGTCATGCTCTGGGGGGCCCAGGCTGGGTCTATGGTGTGGCTCTGTGATGATAGAGGTTATGGGTTGACTGGGTCAGACTTGATGGGCAACTGCCCCCAGGTGGGATCCTGGGCTGCCCTCTGTGTCTCTGGGCAGGAGGTCATGTGCCTAAACCCTGGGTGTGGGCAGGTTGTGGGGGCTCTCACCTTCTTGCAGCACAACTTCCAGCAACACCACAGCAGCAGGGGAAGTAGTAGAAGGGCCGGCAGGAAAGCAAGTAATTTCAGGTTTGAGTCATCGTTTCCCTGTGACAGATAGTATGTGGCAGATAGTACAGTGGCAGAGGCCTGGGGAGAGGTGTGGGGACTCCAATCCGAGGGACCAGCCCTTGCTTTCCATCATTTTATCCTCCTCCAGAGGTTTCCCAGATAGAGGGATTGTTTTGGGAGGTAGGGGGATTAAGGAGTAGGGCTGGTTCCCAGACAGCTCAGATCCCACCTCTAGCCCTTCTCTGCCCAGGAAGGCCCAGAATGGTTCAGAATGCTCAGTGATCTGAGGAACCTAGCTCCCTTGCCCAGTTGGCCTCTATTAATAGTACAGTGTTTTTTGTTTTTTGTTTTTGTTTTTGGTTGTTGTTGTTCTGGTACTACAGCTTAAACTCAGGGCCTAGGCATTGCCCCTTAGCTTTTTACTCAAGGCTGATGCTCTACCACCTGAGCCACAGCTCTACTGCCAGCATTTTGTTAGTTAACTGAAAATAAGTGTTTCATGGACTGTCTTTCCCAAGCTGGCTTTGAACCATGACCCCGCCCCTCTGGCTTTGAACCATGACCCCCCTCTATGGTCCCCAGATCTCAGCTTTCTGAGTAGCTAGGATTACAAGTGTGAACCACCAGCTCCTGGCTTGATACAGGGTTTTGTGAAGACAACCAAAAAGATATAGTGCCTAGACTGGGGAGAGGGGAGGCTTGGGGTCCCAGAAACCTGCAGGCCCAAGAAAGAGTCAGACCAGGTGACAGGGTCAGCCTCCCTGACTTTATTCCTACTTTGGCTCTGTATCCTTGGCCGCCCTCCTCCCCCACTCACTTCACTGAGCCTGAGCTACACATGTCCCCAAGGGCAGGGGTAGCCATCCCACATTTGCATATGGGCGTTCAGAATTTAGAGACACTCCTGGCTCAGGTTCAAGGCATGTGGGCCTTAAGGAATGGGGACAACTCTCCTGTTCTTACTACCAGTCTGACGGCTCAGGTGCCATGTGGCAGGCAGCCTGTCCAGCCTTCCTCAGTCAGTCCTGGGTGCAGAGATGGCCTGAAGCTGGTCCCTGGGGACCAGCATCCTCCTCCCTAGGGAGCAGAGCCAGCCACACACCTGATAGCTGCAGGTGTAAGGGGCCTAGGGGGCACTAGGGAGGGAGAGAAGAAGGAGGGGAAAGAGGGGAGCCTGAGGACCATGCCAATGGCAGGCTTGAGGATGGGTCCAGAGTGAAGATTGAGACCGCTTGTCTCATGTATGGCAGGGGCATTGAGTCACTGGCACACACCCTGACTGCCGTTTGGGGAGCCCTCTTATCTCTGTGCCTGACACACCCGCGTGGAGGAGCCGGTGTCCAGGACATCCTGGACTGTCTCCTGCCACACAGCCCCACTGTGCCACATGGACCCAGTAGGGATTGGGATGAGTTTTCCAGATCCCTGCTACACTTGGGCCTGGGGCCCTTCACCTTTTTCTTCTTTCCCGGAAAAGTTTATCAGTACAGGTGTTCCAACAGCCAGGGGCCACACCCCCAAATGGATACTCACACATCTGATGTTGGAATAGCTGATCTGGTTCCCAAGGAAGGTAATGCCATTGTTCAGGCTGATTTGGACAATGACCGTCCTAATGTACAGAGGAGGAACATGGTGAGAAGAGCTGAAGAAAACATGGGGTAGGCCTTTGGTGAAATGAGAATGAATTGGAAATGGTACTTGGTACTCCCAGAGAGTGAACAGCAGGTCATAAGACCTCATCCCCAAGCAGTGGGAGGTGAGCTTCTGCAATAATGGTCAATGGCCTGACTGTGAGGAAGCTCCTAGTTTACTATGTCATGGGGGCCAATCAGGGGATCTGCATGATGGCTCCATTATAACATTTATCATAGAGTTTTAGCTCTTAAAGGCAACCTCAAGCAAAGGGACCCACCATTGGGCTCATAGAGCCTGGACATTGTGCATCCCTGGTGCTATGGTGAGGGCAGGTGAAACAGTGTTCTCTTCCCTCCTCTGCAGATACGTACTGCCTGACAGAGGGACATCCTGTATTCTGCACATATACTACCTGCAAACACTGACCCCTGCTCTCCTCCCTCCCACCTCCAACATGAGCACTTACTGTCCAGCTTTATCCAATACTGGTCCAGGACAAACTATGGTCTTCTCTGTCATACTGATGGCTTTTTCATCTAATAAAAGTGACAGGATATTGTTCATGGTCACAACCATCCACCCCTGTCACTCTCTGTGCTAGCAGAGTGGACACTGTCAGAGAACCAGCTTCTCCTGAGTTTCTACTTAAGAACACCTATTCAGACTCGACTCTCAGCTTTGCCAGCCCAAGCAGAGTCCTGGTGTCAACAGGTTGGGAAAACAAGAGCCCTGGGCTCAGATGCTCACCTTCCAGGGACTGACAGGGGCAGAGGACAGAGTAGAACACAGAGGGAAGCCCAAATAGTAACATACAAGGTATCAGGATGCTACCTAGTTGTGAGTGATCTTGTGGTTATTTGGAGAGATACAAGTTCTTATGGAAAGAACCTGGACTCTGCACATGTGGAAGCTGATGGAAAGGCTCGGTGGTGAGGGTATCAGGCAACCACACAGTGGGGGTTGGGTATGCAAGTGGGTAACAGGTATGATTATAGCACGTAGTGTGATGTGCACGATGTAATTAGAAGCTAAACAAAAGGGAACAATAAATCCCCAACGTCCAAAAGTGACTCAGAGCAGGCTCTCATCTCAGGGAGGCTGGCTTGGTGTTGGTTTGTCTTCACAGCAGCTTTTACCCTACTCCATCCTCCCTCCCTCCTGATAGCTGAGGCCGAGGAGCTGAGAATTCAACTGAGACCAAGGCAATGACCAGCCAGGGAGTGATCTGAGGGAAGAGTGTTCTGGGCAGTGGGAATTGTATGTGCTCAGGTCCTAAAGCAGGAACTATTCAGCTTATTGAGGAGGCGAAGAAGCAAGCCAAGAGAAGAAAAACCGAGAAAACTTTTGAGTTATTCCAAGTGAGATTGATCCATTGTGGATGGCACATACCCCAGATAGACACACTTTGGACCTAGAGTCCACAGGTACATTGTGAAGAATCATGGATAACATCAGGATTTTTGACTAGATGATCTGGGTGAATGGTGGTGCTGTTTACTGAGAAGAAAAGCCTCCCTCCCTTTCTTCCTCTTTCCTTTCATTTCTCATTTTCTCTTTTCCTCCCTCCCTATTCTCCTTCCTTCCTTCTTCTTCTCCTTCTCCTTCCCTTCATCTTCTCCTTCCTCCTTCCCTCCCTCCCTCCCTCCCTCCCTTCCTTCTTCTCTCTCTCCCTCCCTCCCTCCCTCCCTTTCTTCCTCCCTCCCTCCCTCCCTTCCTTCCTTCCTTCCTTCCTTCCTTCCTTCCTTCCTTCCTTCCTTCCTTCCTTCCCTTGGAAGGCTCAAATCATCATCATTTCTGATGTTAAATTCTTTCCATCTTGCCTATCACGTAAATAAAAGAGTCGAGAGCCAAGCTGAATCATTGCTGGTTGAGCTGCTTGCTCTCTATAGTTGGCTTCAACTTCCCAGGTCCCTGGCTTCCCTTCTACAGCCTGAAATCAATCTCTTTCTGGGAAGGTTCTCTGTGCACAAGACCAACTCAATGCCCCGAGACAGGCATCCTCAAAGACAACTATGACTCACATGACCCCAGCAGTGAAGTTGCCTCCTCCTTTCCCTGAGGGCTACTCCCCTGACCCACCAGCAGACTGGAGGTCTGCAGCCTCAGCTGTCAGGGAGGAAGGGAGGATGGAGGAGGGTAAAAGCTGCTGTGAGGACAAGCCAACATCAATCCAGCCTCACTGATGAGAGCCTGCTCTGAGTTACTTTTGGATGTTGGAGATTTATTGTTCCCTTCTGTTTAGCTGAGGGGCATCCCAGCCCAGTCTCTCCTTCCACAGATCCAAGTTCCTGCTGACCCAAAGTGCTACAAATTATTGGCAAGGTCTGGAGGGCTTGGCTGGTGGAGGAGAAGGGAAATGCATGACTTAGAGGCACAGAGGTGGACAACTTACCCAAGATGTTGTTGTTGAACTTGAATCTACAAACAATCAGGGATGGGTGTTTTGCATTCTGAAAACCATGTCCAGAAACGATCACTTCATAGGGTTCTGCAAGGACAGCTCTGAGTGAGAAAGGGCTGTGTTCCATCTGGTCTCATTGTTCACAGCAGCCAGTGACCCAGATGGAGTTCCCAAGGGACCCACATGAATCAGGCCGCTGTGAGCCAACACCTGTGAGTCTTGCAGGCCACATCCTCATACGAAGTCACTAGGTATCCATGCTAATACACTGCCTTGAGGACATCTGGACATTTCTCTACTGTCCCTGATACAATACACCCATGAAAAGCATCAAGCTTGCAGGAAACAGCACAGCCAGGGTTGATGTTGATGTCATAGGTCTGAGAAGGGGAAAGATGAAGGGGAGAGGAGGTCCCTGCCCACAGGGGTGCCTCACAGAAGACATCCCAACTCAACTGTGGGTCCAGAGGCCAACACACCTTCTTCACTCCATCTATTCCTCAGCTACCAATGACCTCAGACCAGTGTGACACCTCCAAGCCTCCTGAGGCCAGCAATGTACAAGGGGCCAGAGAGAGAGGGCAGTTGGTGTCAGTACCACAGGTCTTCTGGCTTCAAATCCAAGCTCATTTGCCTGTACATCTGCCCATAGTCCAGGCCTGGCTCTTTCCCATCCCACATGGCACTCGAGAAGCCCAGGTCAGTTGATGGATGAGTGTCTCCTGTGCACCTGGCTTTTATCATTGACTCTCTGTCATCCTGGTTGATGCAGTGCCTTAGGCTTCCCACCAATGACTGTCACCCTGTGTGTGGCAGCTTTGTATAAGATGGGCAATGGTTTAACAGGTCACTGGCTGAGCTGTGTGTGGAGGGAGGCACCTGTCACCTTGGTTCAGCACCAGTGAGGAAAAGGTGACAAATCACATCTTCACCTGGGGTTTGTCACAGCTACCCAGATACTAAGGCCTATGTGTGCAGGATCATAATCCCAGAGGCAGAAGAGATCTTCTGTGGGAAGTGGTCCTCCAGTCCCCTTACCTTCTCGGCACAGCAGTCTCTGATTCTTGTGCAGCCTGGGAGGGGGTGGGACAATCCAGAGCCAAAGATTAGGGTGGGAATATCAGGATCAGCTTCCAGAGGTTCTGCTGGGGACCGCAGCACATTGATATCTATGTCTCCCAGTAATCCTGATATGCTATTTCTGTCCATTGGAGGCCACACTACAGGACCCAGATATGTGGTCCTGACCCCAGACTGGATACAATGCAGAACAGAACATATTTCTCTCTGCCAGTGGGGCCACCCATGGAGGATGCAAGGCCAGGACCCACCTACCCAGGCTGGTGTTATCTGAAGCATCAGGAAAAGGGAAGTTGATGGCTCTCTGACTGTCTTCCCCAGGGTACAGGTAGCAGCCATGTGAGGTCATACCTGCATGGGCACTACTACTGACAGGGAGGTGGCCATCCCTGGCCACTATGGTTTGTCCTTACCACACTGATGGAGGGGCCCTGAGCTGGAAAGAGGACACCTTTTTTCAATTCCAGACCATGGGGACAGGTGTGTCCATTTCTCTAATGGGGGAATGTCAGTTGTAGCTGTGTTTATGTCTGCCTTTCTCAGGAGGGGTTTCTTCCATCCCTAGTAGGATGGTGGATGTTGGACTGTGCCTCGTTTTTCTTCATTGATGAGCATATTTGCCCAGTTTTTCCTCCCACTTGGTGGCTGTGTTAAGTTCCAGTGATTGGCATCTCCAGTCCTGTTCCGCTTGGCCCTGTGGCTGCGCTCCTGCTGCACCATGTGTTTGTCTGTTTGCATGCTGCTCCATTCCATTTGCTGGGGCTTCCTTGAGTTTCTAAATATATTTTCTCCCTCACATTACCACTGCATGTTTAATTGTGATAAATGAGCAGTATTTAAATCCAAGCTGTCCTCACAGAATAAACCCTCATGTACATTACCTGATACCTGGTGGATGGTCATGGAGATTCCATGCCCACATCCACAACCTCACACACTCATCCACTCATGCACTACACATTCCAGATCCACACAACACCCACAATGGCACACAGAGTCCTCCTCAGACCTGGTACACCATATGCACATCCACTACACTGTAGGCAAATACTCTACAACCAACTTTCATTCACATACCACCACATACTTGGCACCTAAATACTATACCTCTAACACACATACCACAAGCCACATACCCCATAAAAAAAGAAATACAACACATACGTCACAAACACTCCACAATTTACTACCTTAACTATGCCATAAGAATGCATGCCATTCATGTACTATGTACACACAGCATCATACTCCAACACACTCTGATACACACCACACATACCAAGAATAGCACATCAGCTGGATGCTGGTGGCTCATGCCCGTAATCCTAACTACTCAGGAGGCTGAGATCTGAGGATAGTGGTTTGAAGCCAGTCTGGGCAGAAAAATCTATGAGACTCTAATCTCTAATTAACCACCAGAAAATCAGAGGTGGTATTGTAGCTCAAAGTGGTAGAGTGCTAGCCTTGAGTGAAAAAAGCTCAGGAACAGTGCCCAGGCCCTGAGTTCAAGTCTCATGATTGACAAAAAACGACTAACATATCACATACCTCAAAACACTACATGTTAATGCATACTGTTATACACACAAATGCCATATTCCCTGTAACACACAAGTCACACATCAAACCCACACAGATCATATAAGCCATATATACATTCCAAATCTTGTACTGCATGTACACCTCACCAAAGCAGCAGTACCCACCTGAACACCACACACATAATCCACATGTGGACATCTACTACACAACACCTCTCCCACATGCAAAGGCATCCTTGAACCCCACCCACACACATCCCACCACACATAAACGTCATATAAAGATATCACACCCACTCACTTCTCCCACAATGCCTCACAACACAGAAACACACCCACATGCTCACCCCACCAGCACACACCACACAACATACATAAACATCATACCTTCTATACAACAGACGCAGGTAAGTGACATTCTCCACACTACACATCACTTCCATACTTCACATGCATTTACTTAAGCCACATAACAAAGATTACCATCCATACCCCCCCCCCCGTAACATGCGTTACACATTACACGGACAGTACGTTACCTATTTTTGTCACACAAACGTGCTCACCTCATACACACCCACATGCATACTGCATACCCATGCCGTGAGTATGTCACATGTACACACACCACACAGAGACCCCACACAATAGGTTCACAAATCACAAACACCACATACACAATGGCATGTACAATACAACAAAATGACATCTGTTCACACACATACGAATACCCACAGGTGAGTTAAGCTATGGGTGCACATCAGTGGTGCTGGCCCTTACCTCCTGCACAAAGAGTTGTCAACTCCACTGACCGAGCTTCAACACAGGACCTAGCAGCGAGCTGAAAGAGAGAGCAGCAAGGGTCGGGGCAGACGGGATGAGCCTTAGGGTCCAGAGACATGCCCGCTGCCTCTGCTCACCTCCTCTCTGTACTCCCTACTTACGGAGTCAACGATGCTTTGCAAACCCTTGAACCCATTTTGCACCCCAAACATGTGCTCTGGCGTATCTGCAATTGCAAGCAGCTGGAAGGGAAAAGAGGTGACTTGAGCCCCTTGTCCCAAAACCAGAAGATGCAGTAGGGACCCAAACCTGGGAGATGGTGTCTTTCCCTCAGACTGTGGGATCCCATGGAATAGCAGGTGCTGAGTGCCAGGCACTGGTTTCTACCTCAGTTCAGGCCTAGAGAATGGGAGCTCTCCCACCCTGTGTGTGAATGTGTGGGGGGGCGGGGGCGGGGGAGGGCTACTTAAGACACCTTTGTCACCTTCTGTAAATCTCCAGTGACAGATGAGATTACCCCCTGGTTGGTGTGGGGATCTATCTTTGAGATCTGTCCCATAGAGTCTGCAAAGAGCATTGGGTCCCCCGATGGAAAGTACCTGGTCTCTGTTGTACTCCAGCACACCCACAGTATAAATGATAGACCCCAGTTTCCGAGCCTTGTGAGCCTAAGAGAAAGGAAATGCTAAGAAGAAATCCCCAAATATCTTGGGCTAAACTACTGCTATACGTTGAAGGCCCTCACCTCCTCTTTGGTCGCCTCAAATGCATCTGGCAACAGTGTTCCATCCGTTAGAGCTATGATCACACTGGAAACATTGCCTGCAGAAGAGACAAGAGGGTGAGCCCAGTGGTCAAGGCTCCAAAAGGGGCCTGCAGAGGCTCCAGGATGAATTCAGGCTGTTAGAGCCAGGCATTGCACAAACTTCAAAGACAGGCACCCACCAACATATGACTTCTATAACAGGGCCCCACCTAAAAGGCAGACTGTCCCACAAGCCTATTCTGGCCACAGGGCAGAAGGGAGCAGCCAGAGGAGGCTGAGTGAGGCCTTTGGAAGCTAGACCCTGTTCAGATTATAGCCACCAGGTGGTCCTGCTTGCTACTGGGAGTCTAGCAGCTCAGGGCTGCTGATCAGAGGGCACTAGGCAAGGGGACCCTGTGCACCCTCAGCATCGATCCTCACTAGGTCCCCAGCTACTACTCAGACAGGCATTCGGGACCCAAAGTCCAGAAGAACATGGGTTCTGGGTATGCACAGCTGTTTGAACTACCTGACCAGGGGCCCAGGAGGCAGGTGAGGTGAAGGGCAGGCAGGGGGAAGTGAGTCCTTGATCAGTTCAGCCCACTGCCATTTCCTCCTTTATGTGCATGAGGCCCATCTGTAGGTCAAGAACCCACACACGTGTCTACCCAGGGCCTCCTGTCCTCAGAACTATCCTGGGGGCGGGATGCTTTGCTCACAGCAATGAAGTCAGCACCTGGCTCCAAGAGCAGAGTAAGAAAGGGACTCAGGGACACCAGTGCCCAGCCCTTTCCAGGGAGCCATGGCTCTGGGTCTGCTCCAACTCAATTCAAGCACAGGCCACTTACCTAACGATCTGGCATCTTCTATCTGATGAATTGCCTGCAAAGATATGAATCAATATTGGGGGAGATGGTGAGATGACCCCAGTGACACTCTTAAACCATGAGCCAGCTCCCATACGAAGCCCTCCTCATCTCCACCTTTTTAAATCCTTCTTGCATATATGTGTGTCCCACGGGCACCACTTGCTGAAGTTTGTTAAGACCTTGACGAATTTCTTGTCTGCAAAAGAAGAGAAGGCAAGTTGAGATGAAGAAGGTTGACTGTGACAAACAGCACCCAAGTTGCACAGTCCTGTCCACTGTGCAGATGGCCTGGGCGGGAGGGAACACCAGGCAGATAGCTCTGTCACTCCCATCCTGCACTGGGTCTAATACACAGGGTTTGGCATCCTTCTATGTCCCTGACCCACTCCATGAGCACTGTGGCAAGTCAGGAGGGGAAGGGGAACTGCTGACCAAGTCCCTTGGGAAGATCTGGTTTCTTCTCAGTCTAGTCCTGTCTCAGGGCACTCAGGCCTCCCTTGGAAACCCTTCCCCATGCCCTGCCTGGACCCTCTCTGGTGAGAGTGATGGCATCCTAAGATGGACATCTGTGAGTCAAGGACTCTCAGTGATGCTGGCATTCCTAATCCTAACCCTACTACAGAAGACACCCTTGTTTGAAGCCCTTCAATGGATAGAGCTGAGTTTGGACAATGTCATCCTTCAAAAAGCCCCTGCCCAATTCCCACCCCTCCCCTACTACCACTGCCCCTGGGGGCCTTATTCCCTTCCTGCTAAACAAAACAGCCAATCTGTTTAAACAGAGCCAATCTCCAGGCCTTTGTGTGTTTCTACTCCAAAGTTCCCGAGCTGGGACAAATGCCGGCCATGAGGCAGGGCCATGGCCTGTCAGGTGCTGTTAAAGCCCACAGGATGGATTGGACAAGACAGAGCTGGCTCTCGTGGCAGTGCTATGACAGGAGGTGGGGAGGGCCAGTGGCTAGGTTCTGGCTAATCCAAACTGACAAGCCTGAAGTAGCCCAGCATGATGCCCTAGAGTGAACCCCGAGGTGGCCTCCTGGTGGGGGCAGAGAGAGACCCCGCCATGGGCTGAGCTCTGAGGGCTGCCAACCAGCCCTGCCTGAGTCTGCCTAGTGGTGCCCAGCACCCCAGTGGGGGGGGGCAGACAAGAGTCTGCTCAGCTGGGCTCCTCCATCTCTGAGCAGCCCAGCTCCCTTCTCAATTCCCAGCCTTGCTCCTTTCTCTCTGCCCAAATCAGACCAGTCCAACTCTTTCTCTTGGCCCAGCCCCTTCTGTGTCTCTGGGCCTTGCCACAGATTCCTCTTGGATGGACTTCCACTTTTCCCCTCATACCCATTCAATCCTCTCTCAAAGCCAGGCCAAAGGACACAACCTACAGGGTTGTTTCTGGACCACAGAGGCAGTCCCACGCCACTGCTCAAAGCTGGACCTGAGGCACCTTCTTTACAGGCTGCAAGTCCTCTGCTCTGTGCCCTGAGGAGGACTGGCTTCCTCTGCTTCATTCCCTGCTCCTGGCTTCTCTCTAGGGCCAGGACAGAGGCCGAGGAAATCTGGCAGACACCTCTGATCTCCAATGTCCCCATCTTTCTTGGTGTGCCTTCTTTACTCTGTAGGAATCCAAGCATTGTAGGCAAAGTCACCCCTTCCCAGCCAGTGGAAGCTGCCCAGCTCCTGGCCTGGGGACTCTGGTCACACAGTTGGGTCACCTCTGCTTCATGATTGCTGCTAGTTAAGCCTCCCCACAACATGCAGCCCAGCCGGCGACTCAACACTACCCGAATCTCCTCTGCCTGGCTGCTGTTGGGAAAGCCAGCTGTCTCCATAAAGCATGCAGCATTTCTGGTTCCCAGCTATCTCTGTCCTGCTCTCCCAGGGGAGACAGTGACATGCTCACAGCAGGCGCAACATAGGCACATAGCTGCTCCCTTTGCTCCCCTCAATCTGTGATGCTGTCACAGTCTGCTTCCCAGAGGGAATTCAGGAGTGAGGAATGACAGGATAGAGTGTGGAGAACTTCTGGAGATGCTGGGTCTGTGGGTTCCCAGGAAGCAGCTATCCAGAGTGGGTGGAGCTTGGGCTGGAGGTCAGTATAGTTACTGCAGAGTGTCACAAAGCCACTATGTGCAATGATAGGAGTCTCCCAACTGTTTTCACAAAGCCTGCAGCTTTCTGGAGCTCCTATGGCCTGGGCCATGCTGGGTTCAAAGTGACCCCTACCTGTCCGAGGTGAGTGGCATGAGGACGGTGGCATCTGTTGAGTAGAGAATGAAGGATATCCGAACCCTTGAGCTGGGAAGGAAGCACAGCTGGTGAGAAGTGGATGCAATTGGTCAGTGGGACTCAGGAGCAGCCATGGGCCTCAGTCTGGCTCCCCTCCTCTTCCCTCCCTTCTGGCTCTGGCCTTCTGATCTGTTCCTGGCTCTGACACACCACACACCACACACACACACACACCCACACACACACCAACATGCTCATACATGTGTACACTCACACATGTGCATACCATCCACCTACACTAACATGCATGCGCACACACTCTCACTCAACCCATACATACATACTCACACTCATACACACAGATTCACACTCCTGCTCCATGTCAAACAGGCAAAGAGTCTTTCCTGCTTCTCCATGAAGACTTCTAGCTTTTCCTTGCTGCCATGTTCTTGAAATCTCCAGCTGTCTTTACTCATTCACTTCCGTTCTTCTCTCTTCCTCACTCTTGCTCTTCATAGCCACTCACAGGGAAGCTCTTACCCTGCCTTCTGGCTCAGGTCCTTCAGACCCATTAGGACTTTGCTGTCTACTGCCTTAGCTGAACTTCCCGTTGTCTTTGCCTTTGATCTTGACTCAGTTCACCTACAGTTATCAGACTTTTCTTCTTGGCGAATAACCTGGATCTTGTCTGCTCACCCCTAGTCCAAGAACCTTCTATGGCTTCCAACAGGAAATCTAACCCCCTCGGCCTGGTATAATAAATCCCTATAACCCTGATCTCTAGCTGACCTGAGTGTTCCCAGCCCTCACCTGAATCATCCTCACTCTACAGCCTGATCAGACCACCCATGCCCTAGAGGCCCTGGGCCTCTAGGCCAGCCGTGGGCTGGTGCCACCAGGATCTGTGTACCCATGCCCACAAATCTAATGGGTGTGCCCTCTGCCTCCCAGGGGACTGTTCCTCGAAGCACATTGCCTGTGTGGCAGGGAGAAGCCGTACTTTTGGAATTTCTTCACTAAATTTTCCACGAATGAATAAATTTCAAACCAGTTGTTGTCTACGCTGCCCGACCTGAAAACAAAGGAGACAGGAGTCAGGGTTTGGTGATCTTAGCTACTCAGGAGGCTGAGATCTGAGGATTGTGGTTCAAAACCAGCCCAGAAAGCAAAGTCTATGAGACTTATCTCCACTTAATCACCAAAAGGCTAGAAGTGGTATAAGATTGGCCTTGAACAACAAAGCTCAGGCCCAGGCCTGAGTTCAAATCCTAGGACTGGCACTCTCTCCCCCCCCCCCCCCCCCAACACATATCAAAGAAATAGTTGCTGGGGACAAGGAGTAAGGATGCCAATTTTGTGGATCCAGCAGACATTTCTCTGGGCCTTTATAATTCCATCATTTCACTCACACCAGGGGAGGAAGTAATTCTTTCACCCATATAACATTTTATTGCAAACTAACTTTGACTGACCACATATAAAAGCCTCAGTCACTTGGAGACTCACTGTCAAACTGAAGTGGGGAGCTAGCTCCTACCCCCTCAAGCTGTTGGGAAGCCTGCAGCATTCACATTAATGACAAGCGCACATTAATAATATTTCACCTTAGTAATACCCTTCTATTCTAGGGCTGGGCTTGGCTCCTACTGGGCTTTGTAGCAAGACTTTAGAGTGAGAAGGACATGTGCACCAGAGCAGAAGTGGATGGATGCTTATGGACCACAGACACATTCTGTAAGACTATCCATTCCTATGGGCCATACATCCTCATCTGAATGCCTGTACACCCAGACTCTGCCAGGATCAAAGGGCCAAGACCTGCTCAGGGTATCTCAGAAGTCAGGTTGAAGAGAGAAGAGGGACTTAGTTTTGTTTTGGAGCTGGGAGCTAATGAACTGAAGCCCATGTTCCTCCAACAGTAAATGTTCAAATAGAAAGAGATGGTGGACAGAGCCCAGCCAAAGGACAGGACTATTCATCATCAGCTGTTAGGAAACCTTGCCAACTTTGGAGTCCACTGCCCTCTGGGACACCAGACAGAAATCCAGGATGTTTGGAAGTCTCCCTCAACGCTGTGCAAAGAAGGAAAGGGGAACTAGCAGGGGTGCTCCCAACTTCTGAGCACTGCACTGTAGCTCTGAGTGAATGAGTACTATGTCATCCCCAGCCTAACTGAGAGATGAGAAAGGAGCTCAGGCCATTGCTCCAGACCCAAGTTTACCCCATCTTCCCTTTCTTCCCAGCCAGGAGGTGCCTAATGGACAGCTCAGCTTACCAAGGACCACATGGATGCTCCTAGAGTTCAGAGACTATCCTGTGTCCCTCTACATCAATACCCCTTAGGTATTGGTTCTTAGCAAAGCAAAGGACACTTGGAGCAGTGATGCTGGGAGAGTGGTCAGCAGAGGTAACCAGGCCTCCTCCCCAGGGCTCCTGCAATAAGCATCTCATCTGGCTGAGAAGGCAGCTCTTAGTGTTCAGTTGGCTGAAGGCCACCCAGGACCAGACCCAGAGCAAGGTATCAGAGAGGCAGAACCATCAAGATTCTTCTTTCAGGAAACAAGTCAAAACAGAGGCCTGGGCACATTGAGTCATCTCTCAAACCTGGTTCTTCTGGCAGGGACTGGGAAACCAATCACTGTTCCCCCAGGGTATTGGGGATATGGATACAACAGGGGGAAACTCACTTGTCTAGGATAAGATAGAGGTCAAAGACGCCCCGACATGAACGTTAGATTCCTGGGAAACCAACCACTGTTTCCCCAGGGTATTGGGGATACAGATACAACAAGGGGCAACTTACTTGTCTAAGATAAAGTAGAGGTCAAAGACGCCCCGACATGAATGCACATTAGATTGCAGGCTGGTGTTGGAGCTTCTGCCTAGACCCAGGCGATGGAGTATTTTCCAGCCAGGCCCTTTGTACTTGAGGCCATCTGCTCTACCACGCGGTAGAAGTTGCAGGATTAGCAACAGGAAGAGTGCAGAGCAGGGAACCTGGAGGTTGTGGCTCCCCATTTTCCTGGCTGTCCCTGCCAGCTGTGACTCTACCAGCACTTAAGAGTGCTGTGCAGTCACAGGTAGACTGAATACTGGCCTGTAGCCTCTGGCCTTGTTACCTTTCCTTAACCCACAAGGGGTTAAGGCCCTTTGTGCCCTATGGCCAAATGTGGCCCTCCATCACACTCCTGCTCAGAGCACAGGGACTGGGGGAAGCAGTTGACTCTGGGGTATCCTGCCTCCCCCCTACTTGAGTAACCCTTCCCCCACTCCAGGGCAAAATACACTGGAGTTATGATGGACAGGAGGGTTGACATGGTGACTTTGTGACCTGCAGCCCTGCTCAATGCCCTGTGTATTAACAGTGCTAAGTGGCCATCATAGAATCTTTAGAAGTGTCATGAGGCTGCCTTGTCCCTTATCACAGCCCCTCAGAGTATTCTGCAGTGGGTTTTGAGGGATCATCCCAAAGAAGCTAGGCATTTTGTTAATTGAGAGAGGGCAGTGGAGGGGGCTGAGGATCCAGGAGATGGAGGCCATTCATGGCCCCAAAGTCTTCTGTGATGAGGCATAGTGAAGTTTTCTATGTTTGGGTTACAAGTCAGCCATCCTTCTTTGGTGACATGAAACAAAGACTATTTTATTGTACTAATGGGTATGTGGGGGGAGGGATGCCATGTTGGGGAGAAACCTGAGCTGTGGAGTGGGACCTGTGTGAGGGGAACTGGAAGTCTCTGTAGGCTTCCTTCCTATGGGCCTGGGGTGGGGAGGAAGGGACCTCCAAGCTGGGCTCTTCATGGAGACCCTGCATGTGGTCTGTCTATGAGTCTCTGCATGTAGTTTCTTCACAGTCTGGTGGCCTTGGGTTGAGTGGATTTTTTCATGGTGGCTCAGAGCTCCAGGGGGGAGGATCTGCACTGGGCCAGGCAGCAGCTCTGTGGCCCTTTATGACATCACCTCCCAAGTCACATAGTGTCCCTTCTGTCTCCAGCCCATCGGGGCTCCAGAGGAAGGGATGAAGACCCTGGCTGCCATAGTGAGAGGTAGGCATGGGCTCTCCCTGGAGCCTGACTACCGCAGAACATAGGAAAGGGATGTGATGAAGATGCTAAAATGTGGAGGATCGCATTCAAAGGAGATTTAGAAATGTAAGACTATGAGGGGACATCATGGTGACAATACTTGGATCAATGTGACTTGTCTTTTGTTTTATGTGAATACAATTAATTTTTGTCTGGATATGGCTAACATAAAAATTATAATTGATACACAACACTGAATGTGTGGGAATTTTTTGAACTATACTTAAATTAAGGTACTGTCTTGAATAATGGTGTTTAAACATTTATTAAATCTAATATATTTTCCCCAGCAACACAGTGGTTCCCTTTGGTCACACCCTTCATGCATTTCTTCTTGTCATAGTTTTATAGCTTTCTTATTGGTTAGATGTTGAGCTGCAGCCTTAATTTACCCTTTAGTAATTCCTTATGGGATTGACATCTGTTCACATGACTTAACCTCTGTGTTCACTCCTTTGTGAAGGGGATGTTCATATGTACATGCTATTTCTTTCATGTGGTGTTCCGTTTTCTCACACTGGTCTCATATTGGTCTACTAACATTATGTATTATCAATTATTCTTTAGCAATTATTGCAGCTTTTCCAGTATACAGCTTATTTTTACACTGTAATTCATTAGCTATTTATGTGCCAGTCCTGAAATTTGAACTCAGGACCTATGCCTGAGCTTCTTTCGCTCAAGGCTAGTGTTCTACCACTTGAGCCACACTCCATTTCTGGTTTCTTTTTGGGAGGGGGCGTAGTTTATTAGAGATGAGTGTGTCTCATGGACTTTCCTGCCTACCAGGCTGGCTTCGAACCTCGATCCTCAGATCTCAGCCTGAATAGCTGAATAGCTGGGATTACAAGCATGAGCCACTGGCACCTAGCTATATTTTATATTCTAAAAACAAAGTGTGCATCCTTAATTTTGATGCACACCATTGCTGTGGTTTAGTTGTCACCACGTGGCCCTTTTGAAAGTTGGTGGGACTTAAGAAGGAGGGTCCTAACAGAAAGTCTTCCGGTCTAACACTGCGTGTTAGGCCCTGCCAGAAAACCACACAGACATCCAGGCACAAAGAACAAAGAAAGGTTTATTGCCAGCAAAGGACCAGCAAGGCCCCTTCTCACAAATAAGAAGTGATGATCAATGTCTGAGGTAACTCTTATAAGGGCTGGGAGGTGGGGACTTTGGTGTGGATTTGTGAGCCAGGGACTTCAACATGGCAGGCTAGGTTTTATGTCAGCTGCCCAACTAGTATACAAGGGACTGCAGCTGCCCAGACTGAAGTCACCTCATATGGTTGTAACTGCCCCAATGGAGTGCCATCTCAAGGTAAAGTGGAGAGGAGGCCTGTTATTTGCTGCCTGTACCAAATGAGCCCTCTGGGAAAGTGCCTGCTAGATCCTGGAAAAGGAGAATAAGCTATGGGAATGAAACCTATTGAACTAACCCTTTTCCACTTTTCTTGAATGTGGATAAAAGCCACCCTTCTAGATACTGGCATGATATACTGCTCTTTCCAGAGTTCCAAAGATATGGGGGCCACATGATTTTGGGTGGGAACTTGCAAATTGTGAATCAAAATAGATCTTTTCTCCTTTAAGTTAGTTCATGTTTGGTCATAGAATGAGGAACCTTTATTTTTCCTGTCAAAGGACATTTGGACATTTATGACATTGGCTGGCCATACAGAATTATCAATACAGGCAGATGGCCAAGGGCAACTGACAAGAAGCATATGTGTCTGTCCTGTCATGTACAAAATGATTTCGAGGGCCTTATACAGCCTGCAGGCCAGACATTCCCCCACCAAGGAGAAACTGACAGACGCACAGCTGAATTGTCATTTCCCACAGGCAGCCTATCCCATCCTATGTGGACAGTTCTGCTCTGACACCTTTTGGATCTCAGTGGTCACAGAACTTACTGTAATCTGGCACAATGCTGCAGTCCCACAGTTGGCTGTTGGCTGGTGGCAAGGAGGTGTCTGGAAAGGTGGAAAGGCAGCTGGATCACTCCAGAAAAAACTCATAGACTTTCTGTGCCCTGCAAAGACAGCTCCACTGCTGATTGGTTAAATCTGCCCAAGCAGAATCTGCAGCTGCTGTTGTCCTAGGGCTTGCAGACAGGCAGAAGCTAGAGGCACAGAATGGACCACTAAAGCCTGCTTTGCCCTTCTTGCCTCTAATAGCCAAGAACTAAAAAGAAGGCCTGTAGTAGCTGCATTTTTCAAGATGCTAATTACTAGCCAGTTGACTTTGTAGACACAAGTCAAGCTGATTTTGCAGTTTATTGTGATCTTTCAGGCAATTTGTCTGAGACGTCATGTCTGGCTTCAGCCTGAGCTGGCTGGATGGCAGAAGCCCCAAAGTTACCCCCTAAATCACAGAGATCAGACTTGACATTGAAAGTCTGGTTGCTTGGCTTCCAGCTGTCTCTGTCTGGCTTCACTTGACTCTTAGTTCCAGTAAAGGCAGCAGATCCTCTGCAGAGGCTCCACCTCTGGAAGTAGGAGGGGCCTCCCAGATTGCTCCTGGGTCAAGATCAGGGCCAGGAGCTTCCCATTGCCCACTGCACTGTTCTCTCCTACACAAGAGGCCTACTAGAATCCAAGTAAGATGTCCCCTGCTGTTGTGTCACAACTCAGACAGAATGTGAGTGGATAAATCCATCTCACTTCTTCCACTTTGTTTTCTCTTTTCCCTCTTCTTTTTGTGCACACAGAATTCTATTTTTGTTTTCTTTCCTCCCAAGTTGGCTTTATGAACTTCCATCCATCCATCCAATCCCATCTACCTACCAGTCTGTCTGTCTGTCTATCCATCATCCATGCATCTTTCTATTCATGATGAACTCCCATATTCATAGGCATTTACTGATTGGGTTACAGAGACCCCTATGCAACCACAGTGAGAGGTTTCTGATGTTTTTCCTCACTACCATTCCAAGATTCAGATTTAGTGTGGTAGTCTTGAGCATTTGCCTGGTCCACCTGTGCCTCAGTTTCCTCCTCAGTAGACAACACTACTGGAATCTGCCTTATAAATTTCTTAGGAGAGGTGAGTGAGGGAGATATTAAATGAGCTGTGCTCAGAGGACTGTCTCCCACAGTAAGGTCATGTAAGTGCCATCATTATGCACCCAGTTTAACCAGGTGCATGCAAGGATGGCTGCTTTTCCCAGGGTCATCTGTCCTCTGAGTCAGTTTTCCTCCTGAGATGCCCCTGCTGACCTACATGGACTAGAGAACTTAGGAAGGAAGGTTCAAGTTCAAGTTCATTCTGACTCAGCAGGGGCTACCTCTCATGATCCTGTGTCATGTTTAGTGAATGGGTATCTCTGTGATTTTGAAAGAATTGCCTTGTCTACTTTGGTTTGGGGAAGCTCTGATGCAAAATTGTTTTCTGAAAAATCCTGTCTGTCCCAAGTCCTCAGGGGATCAGGTGGTGGAACAAATTGCTGGTATGTTTGAGGGCTCCTCCCATTTTTCTCTTCCTTAGGGCAATTTCCCCCAATGAATGTCAAACCTAAGTTATCATTAAGCTAGAATAGAAGAGGCTGGGGGGGGGTGTTTTTTTTCCTGCCATCCCTGTTATAAATGCTTACTATAGATAGCCTGGTGAAGAGCCCTGTGAATGGCCAAGGTAGGGAGAGGGGTCCTTCCCTCATACCACCATGTCCTCCTCTATTAGAATCCTGACTAAAATGCAAAGGCAGTCATATTCATAACCAGATGTGTGGACTTGCTAAGTGCCAGCAAGCTCTTTATTAAAGCACACATATCGCTTCCTACAGAGTCCCAAGATCTCTAGAGAGAGGTAAGTACCATCTAACATTCATCTCTGCCTATAAATGACAGACATTTAGGGCCAATTTCAGAGGAAGTAGGCTAAGGTTTCCAGGAGCAGAGTTGTCATCTGTTAGAACCATTCCTGAATACTTCTAAGA